CGGGGCGCTCCCCCCGCCCCGGCTTCTCGGCCCTGCAGTTTCCCCGAGCTTACCGGGACGGGCCTTGAGCCCCAGGCCCTCGGAGTCAGTGCCCAGGCCTTCATTTCGGTCTTCAAGCACCAGCCCCGCAAGGACGGGGCTGGGGGTCACCGTAGCTCCCCACCAGGCTCGTGGGACTGGGCGGGCTCAGTGCGAGTTGGCCACGAAATGACCTACAGGCCAAGGAGAAACAGGCTGCCAACCTGGCTGCCCCCCCGGCTCTGCCACGGAATGATTTCTTAAACACTTTATGCGTTTTCACTTTCCACTTGGACCTAATGTCAGACTTACAGGGCACTTGCAGAAATAGCGCGCAGAATCCCTGTAATCCTTCCCCGGGTTGCTCAGACTGTTCAGATGTTGGCCCGGGTGCTGTAGCCACCTCCCCTCCCCTCCCTCCCCGCGTGCGGAAGTGGGTACGCACTTGCACTGGTTTCCCCGAACCACCTGAGAGTGTCTGTCCTAAAAACAAGCGCTTTCTTCTGTCGTCACAGTACGATTCTGAACATCGGGAATCAACCCTGAGATAGTTACCGGATGCATAGACCGTGTCGCAGGTCTGTGGTTGTCCCACCGATGTCCTTTCTAGCCAAGGCTGCCCCAGGTCCTGCACTGCAGCCACTGGCCTGCAGCCTCCTTTGCCCCGCAGCAGCCTGTCTGTCTGTGTCATCACCTTGGCATTTGGGGCGGGTCCAGGATGTGTGTGCAGACTGGCACTCAGTTTACTCAGTTTGTGTCGCCCTGAGGTTTCCTCAGGACGAGATTTGGGTCATGAAGAAGAGGAATGTTCTCCGAGTGTCCTCTCGACAGGTGCCACGGAACCAATCCCATGCCCTCTGTGTGCAATGGTATTTGGGGCCCCAAGCACTCCAGACACCCTCCCTGAGGAGGGGCCCTCCCTGCTCCCCCGAGGGTACCAGCAAACACAGAGGAGTCCAGTCCATGCCCCGTGGTGTCCAGGCAGATGCCATGGCAGAGGGTCTTGCTGAAGGATCCAAACCTGCTGAGAGATCCTGGAGGACAGGCCCCCTGGAGTGTTGCTTCCCTGCGTCAGTCACACCTGTGGAAGAGGCTCCGGGTTTTGAAGCCTCCTTCCCACCCATAGGTGGGCGCCCCACCGCCGAAAGCCAGAGGTAGTTAGGCGTACGCTGGGGTAGAGAGGACCACACCTGACCCTGACCCTGACCCTTCCTCTGCCAGCCCGCCCTGAGGTTCTGGCCACATAGGAGAGCAGTCATGAAAGTCCAGAAGGGGAATGGCAGGAAAGTCCCCTGGGCCTTGAGCTTGTCCTGGAAGGAGGGCTGGAGTTTCCACCAGCTGGTCTGCTTCCCATTGAAGGACATAGCCACACAGCAACCAAGCGTGGCGCTTGCTGCCTGCCAGTGTTCAAAGCCTGTTTTCACCTCTTGAAACTGCACATGATGGGTCAGGATCAGACCCATTTCTCCTGCGGCTGGCATTGTCCCCTTTGGGTGGGACGTGCACTCCTTGCTCACCACGTCCCCACCAGCCTGCTCCTCTCCAGTGTGACACTAGCTTGGTGTCATACTCATGGGCTCATGTGGAAAACTGACACCAGAGGGATCATAGGACTGGTTGGGGCCCCTCATCTCAAGGTTCTCTGAGTTCTCAGGAGGTGTGCCTAGGGGAGGTGGGTGACACCCCTTAGAAGTGTTCTGGTCACAAATAACTCTAAAAAGGCAGGCATTCCAGGAGCACCTTTTATTGGCCTCAGGCACGTGTGTGTGTGCAAGCGTGCGCATGTGCATGCATCTCCTTTCCTACTGCCCAGTGAGGGCATGAGTAAGCCTGGTTACCTGGAGGAGAGCCTCGATGGGCTGGACATTACTAACTGGACTGTAGCTTCAAGATCATTATCACGTGAGTCTTCTTGAGACAGAACCAGCCTTGGCCCCAACAGAGCTGTCATTTTGTCTTAGCCCCTGCCCGGGGTCCTGGCGCTGTCACCGTTGATTTGTTGACACCCTGCCTGGCTCCCCAGAGCTGCACCTTCAGCTCCTGGCACAATTTTGGTGTCTGGCTCCACCTTCCATTTTCCTGCCTCTCTTGCCGCCAGGCTGTGTGACTCAGCTTGTCAGAGCTTCTCTGTAAACAAGTTACTGGAAGGACTTGGGGCACATCAAGTTGGGCAGCCATCAGGAATGGCTGGGTGCTGACTCTGGCAACCCATGGATGCTGGCCCATTGCAATAATAGGAAGGTAACTTCCTGTGTGACATGGGCAGGTGTTGAAAACCAATCTTACTCTTTATATGCACAGGTCGTGGCTGGGTTGAACTACTTCTTGGATGTGGAAATCGGCCGAACCACATGTACCAAGTCCCAGCCCAACTTGGCCAGCTGTCCTTTCCATGCCCAGCCGCACCTGAGAAAGGTATGTACCTGGTGTGGGCCAGGGGCCAGGCATGCAGGGCAAAGGAGTGGGGCTGTGCCATGGGGGAGTGTCAGGAGTGAGTGCTGTGGCATGGTGGGGGTGGGTGCAGGTGTTAGAGTGCGTGTAGGGGAAAGGGTGCCTATTTGTGTGGGCAGGTTCCTAATTTGAATTTATAAGGGCATTTGAGCTGGGACATGTGTGCACCATGTGCTTTGGGGATTGTTGCCTGCTGACTAGAGGAGGCAGCTGGGGGGCATTAGGGCCCTTTAATCCCAGCCTCAGCCATTGGAACAGATTAGAGGGAATTAGAAGCCTGGAAGGGAGGAACCCTCCTGTGCTGCCCTCACTGAACACGAGACTCTCCCCTGGGCTTGCCTGGCTATTGGGATGTCTCACCCCCTGGGGTGACCTCCACCCTCTTGTTACCTCCCCAAACACACTGTGTCTTTCAGGAGGGTTTCCTGGGTCCTTCCCTCTGGACCTGTCTTGGTGCTGGTGGAAGGAACTTGGCTTCATACCCTGTACCCTCTGGGGCTTTGTGGCCTTGCCTGGGTGGCTCCTGAAAGGGCCATGCTGGGGGTACAACAGTGTGGATTCCTGCAGGGACCGGGGACATAAAGCCATCTCCTGGACTTGAGTGACGGGAGTGGTTACCAGGAGGCCACTGCTGAGTCCTGCATAGTCTTTTGGGGCTCCGCAGGGTAGAGGGCTAAGAGTTCCACAAACAACCATAGCTCCTCACCTGCGCTTCTGAGATCTCGTGCTGGGCCATTTCCTCTTTTACCGTAACCCCAACTGACCATCTCTCTTGTTTCCCTTTTGCAGAATGCACTCTGCTCTTTCCAGATATACACTGTCCCCTGGTTGGGCAAGACCTCCATGGTGAAGTCCAGCTGCCAGGACACATAGAGGACATGGGACGGGCTGGGCCATGCAGACTGCCTCTCACTTGCACTTCCTCCCACCCTGGTGGAGTCCCCTCAGTGTTCAGGCCCAGGAGACAAGTAGAGGGCTTCTTGAGCATTGTTTGAACAGCTAAGTGGCTCTACCTTGTTTCTTTCTAGATGCACCTGTCCCTGGTACACCCTTGCTCCTACTTTACTCAATAAAAAATAACACCAGCCTCTCCCGGAGTTGTTCACTGTCTCGGGGATGTGCCTGAGGGTTTAGACAGTGACTTTATGAAGAGCTCCTGTCCTGCTGGCTCGAGGGCAGACGAGAGGGTGAGAGCTGACACATACTACCGTAGTGGGAATGTTAGGGGAATATGCTGCCCCTTTTTGGATGACCGAGGCAAGGAGGGGGACTGGGAACCCAGGTTTTTGGCTGTGGTGGCTCCTGATAATCTATACAAAAGAGGAAGGAACCTACGCTGCTGGCTCTGGAAATAATTTGGTTGGAAAATCTAAAGACACGTGCCACAAGTTACTCCCCAAATGACTCCATGGGTTTTCCAGGGGTTGTCTTTTCCTTCCACCCTGTTCCTCATTTGAGCACCCTGTGATGGGGCACCCCTTAAGGAGAAGGCCTCCCCCACCCTGTTCAATTCT